GGATTGCTAGAGGGTGTCCCAGACTGCAAGAGGGCGCAGGCCGGGCTGAGGGGACCCCCCCCCACACACTCCCTGTGCACGAATTTCGTGCACCAGACCTCTAGTAGTAATCATAAAACAAGAGATATGTCTTTGCTGATAGCTAGGAACTCACTGTAAACCACTTCAATTAAGTAACTTATTAGGTTGAGAACTGAAATGTCTATAAAAGACATAATCCGATTTATGACTCACGCATAGACAAATGCTGTTTTTAGTGCTCAAAGAAATTGTTCTTTCACAATCTCAAAATGGGACAAATGAAATAATATGTATTTTAAATTCTGAGTAAGAACAAGAGAGCAGGGAAACACAATGCTAATTAATGAAGGAAACGTTTGTAATGTAAGAAAAGTTATACCTTAGAATTAGGTTCTGGTACACACAGTAACTATGAAGTTCAGTAAAGAATTACATATAGGTATCAAACTGAGCATTTTGCTCTAAGTAATGAAATAGAAAAATTTGAGGACCAGGACAGTTTGTAACAGAAACTTTAAGATCTATCACTAATCCTGCAGATGTCTAGAATTCTTTTTTAATTTGTGAAATAATGTGCAACACATTTCCAGTTTGTAAGCATTTTTGTAAAACTGATGGTGTTTCTCTTAAACCAAATTACATTTTCCTTTTTCACTTTTTCCCCCTCAGGAAACTTACTGGACATTCTTTCCACATGGGCTATAGCATGGCAATTTTGAACGGCATTGTAGCTGCTCTTACTATTGCATGGTGCCTCATGTAAACCTGCACTGAAACAGTATTCTTGGCAAAGCTTAGTCATGATTGCTTTGTAGTACCAGGGAAGAAGATCATTGCCTACTCAGAAGACCAAGAAACCTGCTGTTCGTTATGTGATTCCGATGTCTGCCATATCATCATTATGGAGGACCTTCTTAAGCATCATTCTTCAACCTAGGCACTGGGTTATCTGAATATTAAGTTTCAAGTAGTTTCTTAAAATTGTAAGATGTTTACCTTATCTCTTTTGTGTGTGTTATTTTTCTAAGCTGTAGAAAGCATTTTAATGGAAATCAAACTGGAAAACTTGAATACAGCATATACCTTCCCATGTGTATACTACATTTTTCCTAAGGAATGCTGATAATACTGTTTGAGATAGATATATCTTTATTCATTATGTCAGGAAAGCAAACAATGCCCACTACTTTGACATTTTATAGAAGCTACTTTTAAATCTAAATATTTAGGTTTTTTATATTCATATAATCAATAGAAGGTGCATTTATATATTTTAATGGTGCATAGTTTCTTGTGTGTTTTTATTTACATATTTCCTACCACATTAAATTTGTATGTTTTAAAAATTGTTACATCTAGACAAATATAAATGTTATTCTTTAGCTGGCGCAAACCTAATACCTACCATTTTTAAAAATGGCTTCTTTTTTTTTAAAATTGATATTAGAGAGAGTGGAAGGGAGAGGGAGAGATAGAAGCATCAATGAGACAGAAACATCAAAATTGAAGAGCTTACTTCCTGCATGCCCCCTAATGCAGATTGAGCCAGCAAACCTGGGCATGTGCCCTGACCAGGAATCAAACCTGTCACCTCTTGGTGCATGGGTCTGTACTCAACCACTGAGCCACACCAGGCATAAAGTATTTTGTCTTTAAGCAAAAAAAAAAAAAGGATATTGACCTTAGTTTAAAATTAAGTAAACTTATTTTTAACAAAAAAAGTCTGAAAAAAGGTAACTTATATAAGCCATTAAATAGTGAGAAATTTGAAGCTATTCACTTTGTTTCCACAATTTCAAATATTTATCCTGGTGTATATATGGTTACTTGAACAGAACTGATTTATTTTGTTTTTAATAAATATTAACCCTGCTAGCAAGCACTAACAACTAGCAGAACTTTAAATGATACATTTTATATCATTGTACCCAATAAAAACTTTAAAAAAATAATAAATATTAACCTAGCATTTTTATATTAGAAATTCTTGAACTAGTTGGTTTTTTATCTCAAAAAAATTTAGTCACCAAAATAGAAAAGGTATTTTGATACAGTGTATATGTAAGTATAATTTTCTATATATAGTTTTATAATTTTCCTATTTAAATGTTCTATAATTGTTTTTGTTTGTATAGTAATTAAGTCTTAATTGTTCCCACTTCCTTTCTAAATATCTGTTTAGAAAGTCATTTCCATTTTTAAAAGATGAACTATTTAAAATGCTGTTTTCCCTACCCATAGAAAAACATATTTAGGAAAGCATTGTAGAGTAAGTAAAACTGGTTATTCAGGCTAAATGTGAAATGAATATGTGTGGTCTTGTTTCTGTTATCTGCTGAGTGTTGTTACTGAATAAATGATTTAATGATGTTTCTAAAAGTCTTAACTTTTTACTACTCAAAAATCTTTAGTTGAAAAAGACAAATGATGCTCTAATCTAAATGATCTAAAGTGTTTAGATTAATTTGGGTGTATTTGTATATGTACATATAGACATACATATATGCATAAGTATATACAAATCCATGGCTTAAGGATTCGATTCCTTCCAGAGTGGATGTTGCAGTGGATCTATTCTCACTCCCTGTCTTTCTCTCCCTGCCCTTCCCAACCTTGGTTCTAAAAGGCTCTTCTATTGCAAAGGAATGTGCAAGTAACAAAATTAGTTTTTCTTCTCTCCACCTCTTCTGATCACTCACCCACCCCCAACTTGGGTAGCTTCTTCCAGATTCTTTGTCTTATGACTAAGAAAAATATTACAGTACACCTTCTCTATGTAGATACCTATAAGATCTAGATACATAGAGATAATATTTTTTCTGGAACCCTATTTCTTCTGGATTAGCACTCTTCTTTCTTGAGAAATTATTCTCCTCTCTCTAGTTTAACTAGGGTCCAGATATAAGCCATCCTATTTCCACAGCTGATTGGAAGGTAAGTAACTAACCAAAGGAGATAGGTACCTAGCCAAAACTGGGCTAATCCTAGTTTCTCATCTCTCCTGGCCATAGTGATTGCAACAGGAATAGAAATGTGACTCAAATCAGGCCAGTCTTTTCCCAGGATTTTTCAACTTGAATTTAAGGTCTGATGAAGCTGGGAAGGTGATGTTGGCAGCCAGGGTTCAGCCACCTGCAGTGGGAAGGAATAAGGCTAACATGTATGCTGCTAATGACTGTCCTGTACTCCCTGAAGCCCAGTGGTGACCCTGCCATTCTTTAAATTGGTAACATGAATCATTAAATTCCTCCTTTGGCCTCTGCTCTTAATACTGGGTTTTGTCATTTTCAATAAAAGGAGTCAAGTGATTTTATCTGGCAGCGGAATCCATCTATTATGATACTCAGATCATCTTATCTCTTTTTGTGTAGCTTACAACATTCCATTCAGTGACTTGTGAAGGATGCATTGGATATAAGTGTACCTGTGGCCACAAAAGGGTTTTTGGGTAAAACTAGCTATTAATCTACTTGCTGTTTCATCAGGAATTGATTATATTCCCAAGTTCAATTCTGCTTTAAGTGTTACCAGAATATTACTTATCAAGATAAGGTAGTGTGTTCCCTGCCTCGCCCTTATCCGTGGTTTTTTCCTTCTGCAGTTTCTGCAGTTTCAGTTGCCCTCAATCAACCGCAGTCCCAAAATGTTAATGGAAAATTCCAGAAATAAACATTCATAAAAGATTCATAAGTTTAAAATTACATGCCATTCTGAGTAGCATGATGAAATCTCATGCCATTTTACCTGGTCATGAATCATCCTTTTGTATGTTATTCACCCCTTAATCATTTAGTGGCCATCTCAGTTACCAGATCAACTGTCACAGTCTCTGTTCATGTAATCTTTATTTTAACTCAATAATGGCCCCTAAGTGCAGTATTATTGATGCTGGCAATTTGGATGTGCCAAGGAGAAACTATAAAGTGCTTTAAGTAAAAAGGTGAAAGATCTTGATAACAGAAAAAAATCTTACGCTGAGGTTGCTAAAGTTATGGCCACAGTATGTGATAAGTGCTTGGTTAAGATGGAAAGGCATTAAATTTGTGGGTGGAAGACATGAACAGAAAATGTGTTATAATTAAGAGCAACTTGCTCCAGAAAACAAGTTTATTCAGACTTCTGCGAGGGATCCCCTGAAACAAGTGACCACATTCACATAGCTCTGATTACAGTGTATTGTTGTAATTATACTATTCCATTAATTATTAATCTTTTACTGCGCCTAATTTATAAATTAAAGTTGGTCAAGGTTTGTGTAAAAATACATAATATATCTAGGGTTTGGTGCTATCTTGACTTCATGCATCCAGTGGGAGTCTTGGAATGAATTCCCTAAGGATAAGGGGAGACTACTATATAATGAGTCTTTAGATCAATGAGTTTTAAATACAGTGCTATTACTTAATAATGCTTCTCAGTTTCCTTATCTGTAAAATGGGAAGACTACCCCTTCCTAACCTTTTTTATTGACACCAATCATTTTCCAAGCTCCTAACAATTCTGCCAACTGCTAATTCACTCCCATGAATATGCATAACCCTTATTTTATACCATATTGTCACAATTGGGAGGCCAAGGATGCAGCTAAACATGTACAATGCCAAGGATAGCTCCCCAACAGAAAGAATAACAGCCAAAATGCTAATAGTGCCAAGGCTGAGAAGCCCTGATCTAGGACTGGATGAGTCAGATAGCATCCTGTTCAGAATGGACAGCTGGGGTCACAAGGTTACCTGAAGCCCAGGTGTTCATTCTCTAAAAGGTCAAGTAGAAAGCTGTTTCTCAAAAGGAAAGAATTATTAGCTTAAGAGGACTTGTCTCTGTGCCAGTCCCCTATGGGCCTGTCTGGCAAGGGCCTGTTTGCATACTCAAGGGAGAAATGTGTCCACAAAGTTCATATACAAAAATGCTGTTGAATTGAAAGCTGAGGCCACATTTGACCATTTCAAGTCCATTAGAGCACTGGGTACACAGGCCAAATCGGTGTTAAAGTACTGACTGGAGTGATTGATAATCCACTGAGGGGAAATCACTGCTATACAGTGGGAGCCAGGAGTTTGGACAAAAACCCCAAAGCCCTGTGTTGCTTCCTTGTTAGACTCATTTTCAGTTAGTCGAATATTATAACCTACACAGGTGGGGGGGTGGGGGTGGGGGGGCTCAAATCCCTCAGGAATAAGATTTTGGTTACCTCACCAGATTTAAAAACCTGTACCTGTTAAGAAAGTCAAGGGGACATGAAATAGATATAGGACAAAAGTCAAATACTAGCTCGTGTCTCATGACTAGTTTCAAAAACTGAGCTATAGCCTCTACCCATATTTCTTTTCTATGGCATCTGTGTATTTTAACTAATTCCTTTCTTTTTTCCTGTTTCTGTCAGGAAAACTGTTAATTCTGACTTATTTCTTTTACTAATTTGTAGAAAATAGCATATGCTATCTAGCCTTATTTCATAATGACCCATCTTCCTAAAGAGTCTTTTAGACACTTTTTTAAATGTATCCAATACCTAGGATTTTTGACATTAGCTAACTACAATGTAGTATTTAGATTGCAGGATATTGTGATGGGATTCCTGTATAACTTGGGAGGAATCAACATTTCCCTGAGATCCTGGACATGGAACTGAATATAGTTACCTGTCAGACTGCTGATTGTCTTCCTATGTGAGGAAGGGTCTGCATTCTCAACTGAACGAGAAATGGTTGTGCTACGTTAAATGGGATGATTTTTGAAGTGTAATCATGGGAAATAGTGGGTAGGTGTATGCAGGACAAGCAAAGGAGCGGACTCTAGTAGGTATGTTACCAGTTGTCGTCTTAATATATTTTTATTGATTTCAGAGAGGAAGGGAGAGAGAGAAAGAAACATCATTGATGAGAGAGAATCATTAATCAGCTGCCTCCTGCACTCCCCACATTGGGGATTGAGCCCACAACCCAGGAATGTACCCCGACCAGGAATCGAACTGTGACCTCCT